TAGTTGTAGTAGTCGAGGTAGTTGTAGTAGTCGAAGTAGTTGTAGTAGTCGAGGTAATCGAGGTAGTTGTAGTAGTAGAGGTAGTTGTAGCAGTAGAGGTAGTTGTAGTAGTAGAGGTAGGTGTAGTAGTAGAGGTGGGTGTAGTAGTAGAGGTAGTTGTAGTAGTAGAGGTAGTAGAAGTCGAGGTAGTTGTAGTAGTAGAGGTAGTTGTAGTAGTCGAGGTAGTTGTAGTAGTCGAAGTAGTTGTAGTAGTCGAGGTAATGTAGTCGAGGTAGTTGTAGTAGTAGAGGTAGTTGTAGTAGTAAAGGTAGTTGTAGTAGTAGAGGTAGGTGTAGTAGTAGAGGTAGTTGTAGTAGTAGAGGTAGGTGTAGTAGTCGAGGTAGTCGAGGTAGTTGTAGTAGTAGAGGTAGTTGTAGTAAATTAGCTGTAGTTGTAGTAGTAGTCGAGGTAGTTGTATTAGTAGTAGAGGTAGGTGTAGTAGTAGAGGTAGGTGTATTAGTAGAGGTAGTTGTAGTTGTAGAGGTAGTTGTAGTAGTAGAGGTAGGTGTAGTAGTAGTAGTAAGGTAGGTGTAGTAGTAGAGGTAGGTGTAGTAGTAGTAGAGGTAGTTGTAGTAGTAGAGGTAGTGGTAGTAGTAGCTGTAGTTGTAGAAGTAGTAGAGGTAGTTGTAGTAGTAGAGGTAGGTGCAGTAGTAGAGGTAGTTGTAGTAGTAGTATAGGTAGTTGTAGTAGAGTAGCTGTAGTTGTAGTAATAGTCTAGGTAGGTGTAGTAGTAGTAGAGGTAGGTGTAGTAGTAGAGGTAGTTGTAATAGTCGAGGTAGGTGTAGTAGTAGAAGTAGTAGTCATAGTTCTTGTTTTAGTGAATTTTAGTTCACAAATGGTATATGTTGATTGTATATCACAAATATTATATAGCCACGTATATCGATGTCAACCAACAACCATCAAATAACAAATTCTCTTGGACGGGTTTACCCATTTGCACGAAACAAAGCAGACCAGTTAGACCGCCACATATGTTTAATATTTACATCTACATCCAGATTTAACATAACAAAACACTAGACACTATGACCACATGGATGATAGTCTGTTTCTCTTGTGGTAGAACAATAACAGACGTCCACGTTTCCAGCATGGCAACAGCCTTTCACGTTGATGTTGTGATAGCCATGACATCATTGTTGTTCACACACATTCTTTAGATAGACAAATATTCAAGAGAATCACATCTTTAATCTTTGGCTCATGTCATTTCATTTCACGATTTTCTCCAATCAAAGAACACATATGTAGATTTATCAAAACTATATCAATAAATGAAACAGATGCACAGGAATTGTGATAAGGTATGAATGTAACATATTCAGGTGAATTTGCTATTCTGTCTTAAAGTTAAATCATGTTCACTTACTTATACAACAGCAGCATTCTGCTACCATAACAGAATGAAATATGACTTCCACTGCTATTATATAAATCACTTAAGGTCGATTATACCAACATACAGGAAAATATAAGGTAGTAAACTTGTTCCAGCATACATGGAAACGTTTCTGGAATATCTGTAAATTGTTTACACATTCTCCATCAACAATGACATTCATTTATCTACCTAATGAACAAGACAGGTCGTGCTTAAATATTTCAGAAAACGAGAGTTGGACATATTTGATCGAACAGTTAAGGTTAAAAAAGATTTGTTTAAAAAAGGCGAATGTATAGACAATTGTCATGTTACTACCTATGTTACATTTTAGTAATACAGTCGAACACCGTTGTGTCGAACGCTGATAACTCGATATCTCGGTTGTCTCGATATAATTTCTCGGTCCCGGCAAAATCCTTCATTATTTATCATTATTTGAACCCTGTTCAAAAAAATGTATTTTACTTTGACATGCTTCTTTTATGTGACACCTGGGTTTTAAAGAGCAATTCATTTTTGTCCTTGTCATGTTTTAAGTGACAGTGATTCTGAATGATACAGTAAACAGCCAACTAGGACGTCATTGTAATCAATCTTCTTATACAAATTATACATAATGCTTCACAATGACGTTAAATGTTAAGACTAAGACAGATTTTCGTAGTCTTCTATAAATTTAACTTAAGGAAGAACGAGATGTGACATGTTGTGATGAATGGGTGTTGGAACCTATCCGCGCTTGTCCTTGACGTCAAACAAATCATCACCGAAATCCAAAGTGCAATGACCCAGTGGTTTGTCCAGTATTGTCCGTAATGTTTTATACCCAGAAGAAATCATATATACAGATGTGTAGAGAGGGAAGTGCATGCATAATTTTAAAGTTATAAGTATATAGTGCAGTCGTTTTGGTAATTGCAGCAGTATTTGCATCAGTAAACATATGTCAATAGTAACGGTCGTAGTTCAAATCCTTATTCTAATTTATGGGCTCTGGTATGGGTTGATCAAGAAGTGATGCTATGCATATTGCATGTGTTGTATTTACTATGACTGTGGAAGAAAATTTGGTACATCAATATTGATTAATCTCCGTGATAACTGTATTTCAAACATCATATCTAACTTATATGATGTAGAAAATAGTTTTGGAATCATTGATTGGTTTTCTCTTTGATACGAATTTTCTGTGTTATTCTGTGTTTCAGCATTGTTTAGTTTTTCCTTTATATTCAGTCGCATAAGCTCTGTGGTCATTGTACAGTCGTTGTAGTAATAGTCGTTGAAGTAGTAATAGAAGTTGTAGCAGAAGTAAGTTGGAGTAGAAGTTAGCAGTAGCAGCAGCAGCAGCAGCAATATTAATCTATTGGCCTATGTTGGTGGTAGTAGTAGTAGCAGCAGTAGTAACAGTAGTAGTAGTAGTAGTAGTAGTAGTAGTAGTAGTAGTAGTAGTAGTAGTAGTAGTAGTAGTAGTAGTAGTATAATTCCACTGAACAGCACTGAACATAGAAGCAGTAACAAAGTTTTTCAAGACCAAACAGTTCAATAACATTAACAAGTTAGGAAAATAAATCAGATCTGATACCAACTAAATTTGAATCACAACATTAATGTTGGTCCCGCTAAGAAAAATATAAAAGGTGTGTTCAGCAGTTCAAGGCTTTTAAGAACTCATTATTGTAAATAGTACGTGTCTATAGAATTTGATGGGTGGTTGACAAGCGAAATGCATTGTCTGTCAGATCTGACATCCTTTTCATGGCGCCTGATGCATGAACTGTAGTCGGTAATAAGGAAATGTTAATTTACTTACGTCATTGGTCTCGTGAGTCCTATATATTATTATGATACAGCATTTACTGTTCTCTCACATCAGATCTACATTCCCGGTGCTAATGAGGTAAGAACGTATTTTCTTCTCTTTACAGATTGCACCATAAACATATTAAGCCATGTTATTCGGTACATTAATTTTTAAACTCAAGAAAAAAGGTTCTCCCCTCTTCGTGGAAACACTGGTATAGCGTATGCTAATTAAACCATGGTTTCAGCCAAACCCACTATGAATTCGACAACGAAACACATCCGTTTTGTTGCTAAAACATTAAGTCATATTCATGGCAATATTTCATAGAATGATATGATTATTGCGTTACTTATGATAATGTTGCAGAATCACAAGCATGGAGTCTGTCCTGTTTCTTGCTGTTCTGTGCACATGCGCCTTTGTATGTTCCGGTGTTGTTTACAACCAGAATCATTTCTACGGCCAGTACCCGGATGTACACTACAGGGACCTCTACGTCCCCAACAACTACCCCAGCAACCATCATCCTACTGGTTCGTCCGCGTTACACATTTTATTTTCGTGTACCTGAATATCTGAATGCACCTGAATATGTCAGTGTTAGCATAAAGTGAGTGAGTGAGTGAGTTTAGTTTTACGCCGCTATTAGCAATATCCCAGCAAAATAACGGCGGGGGACACCATAAATGGGCTTAACACACTGTACCCACGTGGGGAATCGAACCCGGGAAGCGAACGCTTTTCAAGCGAACGCGTTAACCACTAGGCCATCCCACCGCCCCCAGCATAAAAGAAATGAGTACCAGTTTTGCTATCCGTGTTATGAAATTCGATTAATCTATAAAACGTTCTAGTGAGTGAGTTTCATTTTACGCTGCTTTTAGCAATATTCCAGCAATATTCACAGTTGAAGACACCAGAAATGTGCTTCGGAATCGAACCTGGCTCTTCGGCGTTAGCGCGAACAGTTTAACCACAAGGCTACCCCACCGCCCCTGAAACATGATTATAGGAAGATGGATAAAGGAAGAAATATTTTTCTACGATTGCGGGATTAAAACTAAGTAAAAAATGCAATGAGGCGGAGTAATAATACTCTATGTTAACTTTTCAAACTTAAAACGCAATGTCATCTTGAAATAGGCAACATTTTGGCATTTTAGCCGTCAATTTGGTATAGTGTAAATATTGATGACATAAATAATAATATGTCACTATGGACAGTACAGAAGTAAGTATTTAGTGTGTCACGTTATCATACGCTAATTAAAGTGAGGTGAGGTGAAATGGGTTTAACGTCGTCTTGAGAATATTTCGCTCATAGTGGATTGCATGTGTATGTGTATTTGCGGCTGCTTGTACTAGCCTAGACTTAAGCTCGTTATTGCTAGCCCACTGAGATACTCCATGGGAGGACGTTCCCATGGACAATACAGAAGTAAGTATTTAGTGTGTCACGCCAGGCAGGGACCAACAAGTACCATATTTTAACGTCTTTTGGTATGACGCGGTCGGGGATCCGGGCGGACGCTAATTAAAGTGATATGACATATTTTCCGTTTAAGAAGGTTTCAAACAACATCCTCTATGATAATATAACATTTTTCTCCATAAATGGGATCATTGAATGATTTCGTATATTTTATAAAAGATGTATCAGAAACGCTAAGACATTCTTGGTAAAGATCTCATTAACAACATACCTTCCAACACTGATTGCTCATATAGTTACACAACTATAACATCCACTCATTTGACCAGGATACCGACGATCTGTGCCGTCCCATGTCATTGGATACCCGAGTTACAGACAGACCTACCCGTCTAATAGCTACCCTACCTATCCTTCACACCAACCTTCCTACCCGTCAAAACACATCCCGTCCTACCCTGAGCACGTGAACACCTATCCCTGGACATCAAGACCGTTACCAACAAGGTACCATGTTAAATACGTCACACCTTCTGCGATTGGATCGTGTCCAAATGCTCATAAGCATCTCAGTCAACGTAATCAGAATTTATTGTACAGTGAACTTTTAAGATTGATTATTTCTTTCCAGTCATTTTTTGTCTTCGCAAACGTGTCAATGCAAAATAGACAATTCTTGAAGAATATCCAGTTCTTTACCCGTGAGTCATAAATACACAGTAACACAATAACAACATTGTAGGTCTGCAATGGAACCAGTGGGGATCCCAGTCCGGCAGCCAGAAATATGGTACTTACAGGGTAGGTACTTTTATTTCATGCAATAAAAATACTTTTTAAAAATTTAATCTTGACTAGTGAATTCGAGTCATGACATGGTACAGTAAATAAGTCTATTACTTTGCACATCTACGCATTTGAGCATTAATGAATCAAATTGTTAACTAGTAAATGATATGCACAAGTATGTGAAATGTTATATACACGTTAAGATGTCTATTTGCAGGGATGAAGAGATGATGGATACTACACCCCTGACCACCAGGCTTGAAATCCTCACTATCATAACGTGCAATGTACAAGTCTCTGTAAATAAACTGTGTAAGGTTATAATTTGACTTTGTGATTATGAAGTATTTGCATCATATCTGCTATGTGGCGGGACGGGAACTGACATTCCCCGGAAACTGACATGTCTGCTTAATGGACAGCCTTCAATATATAGGTTCCACAATTTTATTATCAGTTTCAGACAAGAATTGACACATATGACAGTATCCATGAATATGGGTGGAGTTGGGGTCTTAATATAAATGGGCGAGGAGAAAGAGGTCCATGCTTACGTACAAAGATGTGAGTGAGTTGAGATTTTCGCCGCACTCAGCAATATTCCAGCTTTATGGCGGCGGTCTATAAATAATCGAATCTGGACCAGAAAATACGGTGATCAACAGCATGAACATCGATCTACGTAACTGGCGACCGATGACATGAGTCAACCAAGTCAGTGTGCCTGACCACCCGATCCCGTTAGTCGCATCTTACGACAAGCATGGGTTGCTGAAGATCAATTCTAAGCCGGATCATAACGGGTCCAAAGATGTAATAGATTATGTACACAATAATGAAGACCTATGCATGCTTAGCTACAGATAATCCCTGTCAGAATCATGGCTTACACACTGTCAATATACAATCTATATTTTAAATAATTGCAAGAAGAAAAAAAACGACTAAAAAACAGACCAATTTGAAGCTTTCCAGTGAACCCACATATGTACGTTTCAGTATAGTCAACTGAGTCTTCACGACCAGGCATTAAAACTAAAACAGTTTGTCAGTTGTCCTGCGCAATTTAACGAACGATGTTTACTGAATAGGTCAGTCGTTCATCTTAAACAATTGCAAGTATCATCCGGCAAGTATTATGCCGTCCTTAAATCGACTGTAGAAGTCATTCTTACATCTTACACCATATATAGATAATCTGTCCTGGAAAAAAATAATTCAGTCATAAACCTTTTCACAATTCTCAATCCAAAGCCAAACTCAAGTGATGTTTTTCTTTTCAAAATGACTCGCTTCATTATCAAACTGACTGATCTGTCATCACCTACAGAAAAGACATTTTGCTGGCTGTGCCATACGTGGCAGTTTCATCTCTGTGTCCAAACATCAGATTAAAAACGCAATGGTCCACAAATATATGTTGAAACCATGACTGTTGTTAGGATTGTACAAACGAGGATGGGAACAGTCTGTAGGCGGAACTGGAAGTTCCTTACAAACATACTTGATGGTGGTTTGAGTTTGGTATCAAAGTTAATGATAACATATATAAACGTAAAACACCTGTACTTTAATCGTTTTGATCGATACGCTTGTCTACCGTGACTTTACGTAAGTCGAAAAGATATCTATCAACGATCAAAAGAAAGTGCTTTTCATTTTTTTACAAATATTAATGATTACAGTGCAATTAAAGTCAGAATGATTAAAATATACTCTACCCAACCGTAACGAATCTTCACCCAGTGTTGTGTTTTGGCGATGTTGCACGTTTCAAGAAGTTTGTCGTTGGGGGATAATGTATGATGAAACCGACGATGTTGATTGACAAATTTGTTTCAGGAAGCGGAAGATAAACGCTAATAAGGTGAGGACCCTGTATCCAAGTCATTCTGCAACCATCAGTCGTCAGAAGGTATTCGCCGACTACGACCTACCGACCATTCAGAGGAATGACGTTGATAACGGCTGCAGCGTTAAGTTGGGCGTCTTAAGTTCGACGAAACAGATCACACCAGTTTCGAAATGTTCAGGCCTGACGGTTGAACACAAATCAAGTGACATGCAATTAGTGAACAAATAGATCATGTAAGATTGTTTGGGCCTGGATCCGTGGACTACAAATCTGGATTTGTATCATATTGCCCTGTGGACAATGACCAGGCCTTGTGTCAATGTGTGTTACCGCTATCACCGCGGCTTGTTTCAACAGAGCAAAGCATAAAACGTTGTTTCTAACGGGACGTTTTGTCCTAGACTGTCATTTGCCAAGGCACATCGGAAATATAAGATATTTTGACCATTACTCCAATGAACAAAGATCATAGCCTACACACCAGCAAGAACTTTACGCTCCCAAACCAAAGCACCTGCTATGTTCCCATGGTAAAAACATCCCGCTATGGGGAGGAAACATTTGCATATTCAGCCTCTAAAGACTGGACCTTCTGCCCCAGTACCTGAAAGACTGTGAATCATTGTCAGAGCTTATGACCCAACTCAACACCTTCCTGTTCAGATTTGCCTTCTCTGTGTAGCTTATCTCATCTCCTCTCGGACATGTGCGCTTAGAGCATGTAATCTCGCATTCTCGCAATCTCGACTTGTCAAATATGGCCACAAAAACACAAAATCGCGAGAATGCGACATTTCATTTTCTCGCGTTCTCGCGATCTCGCGATCTCGCGTTTTAGACGCTGTCGTTGCGCATGCGTAATATCATAAGGTCAAGGCGCATGCGCATCTTAGTAGTGCTGTGGTCATGCTTCTTTCATGCTTTTCATTTCCCAAGTAGCATTTAGCAAAATTATGACATAGCTTGAAAATGCTATGTAATTTACATACACGATGTGTAGGGTAGTGTATATAAGTACGCTCCCGTTGTTACAATTTCCTATGTACTTAAAAATCCTCAACGTGTTAAATATAATTTAACAAACGAAATTGTGAATATGAATGTCCAATAAAAGTCAAAACATGAAAGTGTCCGGAAGCTGGAAATATATTAACGTCAGTGAGTGATAAAATAGTGCTTAAAGCCGCATCAATTCGCAGCTACACCGTCAGTTATACAAATAATCACAGACCAGTGAGTTTCTCCATGATGCAATATCATATACGGCTAGCATATTCATTCAAACAAAATTCTTACAGGCCAATTTGTAGCAGTCGGCTAAAATGAGCATGTCTGATGTTTTACTCGATACCATATTCGCTACTTTAATAGATTTTCTTCCGCTCCCGCCTTACTACAAAACATCCTGCTTTATACTATTCTTTTGTCTTCAAGTTCCAAGAAATAGAAATACATTTGTATCGCTAATAGTTGTGTTCCTGTGGCAGCCATGATATGGCGGAGTTCCAATGTGTTATTAACCACAGACTACGGGTTATGAGTGAGATATCTGTTTATTTCCATATCGTGGTGGAAGAAGACACCCTGTAATAACAATAATATTTTTTATACACGACAAACATAACATAAAATCACATCTGATGAACATGTCATCATAATAAATATAGTGCATAAATGTGCCTATCAACAATCATATACAGGTATTACGCGATGCAATATAACACAGGTGACTTACGTGATCACGTGTTTACAGTGATATACAAAATGAGTGTTGACATAAAGACTTATAATAATACATAGTATAATGATTAAATAGACTGTAGATACTGTACAAAGAAACCTATCCTGTGGGTTACACGAGAATGTGTCTGCACATCCAGCAGCCGCACAGTCAACGCATGCAATAATCCCATATAAGAACAACACACTGATCAAATGTAATCTTTGTCAAGTACATACAATATACATCGTAGATGAGATATATAAATCTTACATGATACAGAAAATAGTTACCAAACAAGAACTACTAGCCAACATATTGACTGGACATATAGAAAACTACCATAAGCACATTCATACACGTTAAATGGTATATTGTGTATTGACTTTTATTTTGTTATCATGGGCATATTTATACCTATTTTGTGTAATGATTAATATTAGGGTTTAATTTACTATGTATGTAAAATTATAATGTATAATAACTAACCTTTGATTCTGACCAAACTGTCACACAGAACTGTACATGAAACACAAAGACACCCGTGAAGGTCCGGGTTAGAATGTATCTTCAGGAACTCATGTTTGTCGTAAGAGGCGACTAACGGGATCGGGTGGTCAGGTTCGCTGACTTGGTTTGCACATATCATCGGTTCCCAATCGCGCAGATCGATGCTCATGATGTTGATCACTGGATTGTCTGGTCCACACTCGATTATTTACATACCGCCGCCATAGAAACTCAACTCAATCACTCACTCACTGAAACACAAGGACAAGAGGCAGCTGAACTGACAACTAATTGCAACTTAAATGCATAAAGAAGTCGTCGTCTGCGAGACCACTATATCCTGATATAAGATAATGATGATTAGTTATTCATTTACGTACACAATATACAACCACTTAATTCACCCCTGTTACATTCCTACTTTCTTTACTTGATAAAATACTCCACAAACGTAGCCCTACTGAACATGCATGATGCATGTGAATCGAATCCTTCTACAGTGAATGTACACAGGTGCCTTAAAAAGTTCGATTAGACAAAAATTAAATGTAAATCAACATACTTCCCGCCTCCCGTGTTTTTTTTAGAAATTAATCAAACTCTGTCTATTAATTTATTGCGGCATTACCTTCACAAGCTCGGCATGGTAATATTGGAAATTACCCCCCATTCACAGCCCGGGGCACGTGCATTGCTCTAAATAAGTGAGTGAGTTTGGCTTAACACGACTTTCAACAGTATTTATCTTTCAGTTATATCACGGATTATCAGTTCGATGTAGGATGAAACCCACCAGCATAGGTTTCTGGCACGCTCAAGGGACGCAACTCCATTGCCACGACTGAGCTACCCGTGATCACAGTTCAAGATGACTGTATAGGTAATTGGTAGAAAAACGCGAGATCGCGAGATTTGTCAAGTGTCGCAATCTCGCGTTCTCGTGTTTTTGAAAATCGTTACATAGAACTGTATGGGCAATTGGTAGAAAAACGCGAGATTGCAAGAAAGCGAGATCGCGAGACTTGTCAAATGTCGCAAGCTCGCGTTCTCGCGTTCTCGTGTTTTTGAAAATCGTTACATAGAACTGTATGGGTAATTGGCACAAAAGCACAAGAACGCGAGATCGCGAGATCGCGAGAACGCGAGAAAATGAAATGTCGCATTCTCGCGTTCTCGCGATTTCGTGTTTTTGTGGCCTTATTTGAAAAGTCGAGATTGCGAGATTTGACAGCATGTACGAATGTCGCATTCTCGCGTTGTCGACTTTTGACAAAAAGTGCTATGTACCAAAAACACGAGAATGCGAGATCGCGAGAACGCGATATTTTGGCCAAATCTCGCGTTCTCGCGATCTCGCATTCTCGCACTTTTAGCATTTTAACCTTGTTTCCAAAGGTCGAGATCGCGAGAATGTCCCTTACAGTATTCCATAATTTTTACATTTCATTCCCAGTGAACCTTGATAGACATGACTGCCAGTTTATGTCTATTATTATGATGAATGACTGTTTGCATTTCTTGCGTGACATTTTCAAAATTTCTGCTATGGTATACTTCAATATTTCAATTAGACCTTATTTCGGACTGTATTACATGGTATTTCACAAAAACGTTAAAATACAAAAAGCGGTCATTGTGAAGGAAAACAAAGAGGGAAACAAAGGTTTTGACATGTTTGATAAATGTTATCTTTAAAAACCTTTGTCATTGACGTCACAGCGACTGGAATATTACCAGGATATCCAAAGCACCGTGAATCAGCAGTTTTTCCTGTGACCACAAGTTGACAAATACAAATTGGCAGTGGGAAGAATATATGAAGACACATTTTAGTTTCAGTAGTAAACCTGAAATATAACCAATAAATATATAATGTACGGAGATGTTCTCTTTCTCATTCTTAATCAATAAACTTGCCGAACATAAATTCAAGTTCACCAAGAAATTATGACAACTTTCATGTTTCTTCTCGCTGATGACATTGTATTGTTTGAATTACTAAAGCCCTTCAAAGGTAAATAAATCAAATGAAATTATATTGCAGCAATTGGAAGCCCAGTGTTAATGTAGATAAGACGTAGGGCATTAGAAAAATACTTGTACCAATATTCGCATCAGCAGTCGACATTCATGTTATTGTTTAGGTCCATTTCACTTTATCTCCTCATTGCATTTCAGTGCTCATGTTACTAAACGACCATAACTAAACTGGAAATACAATTACAAAAAAATAATACTCGTCTCATAAATAAATCAAACAGTCGCCTTAAGCACGTAACATTGGATTTTTTCGAACTTGACACATGACGCATAAATAGATAATGGGATGGTTTACTTCAAAATTTGTCTGTCGTGACGTCAGAACTGATGATTACTTACAGCCCGTAGAAAAAATAACGGGTAATAAGGAAATTATAATGTCCAGACAGGCCTATATAAGACCCTCGAATGTCTATGTCACATCACACATCCCCGGTGTTTTCTGGTGAGAATTCTTTGTTTTCTTCTCGCAGGTAAGAATGAATTTTGTTATTATTTTAAAAACTTCGCTAAACAATGGCAATGGGTGTTTCTCTGTTCTATAGTGGGATAGCCGAGTGGTTGTAAATGGGTACAATGTATGAAGCCTAATTCTGGTGTCCCCAGAACAATTGCTGGAATATTGCTAATCGCGGCGTAAAACCATACTCACACACTCTCTGTTTTATAGCGCATTATTAGTTTATCTGCACTGGGGTCATTTATGTACCACATCAAATGAAGTGAAAATATATTCTAACATTAAATACGATTCATATGTTTAAACCGCAAGACTTTGGCGATATTGAACAGAATCATGTTATTCTTGCAGAATCTGAACCATGGAATCTGTCTTGTCTCTCGCTCTACTGTGCGCATGCGCCCTTGTATGTTCCGGTGCTGTTTACGACCGGTATCCATCCTACGGCCAGTACCCGGATGTACAGTACAAGGATCAATATGTCCTAAACAACTACCCTAGCAACCATTATCCTACTGGTAAGTGATGCTGTATGAAAACTCATACTCCTTGAAGTATCGAAAGTTATCCGAATGTTATAACACGAACTTATTTACAACACTGATTGTTGATGTTAAGCCATGCCAACGGATAAAGTTTATAGAATAATACAAGGTCCTACATAGTCCACTGTGGCTAGCTTCACACCAGAAGGTACAATTCTCACATCTAGTTTGCCTGTTGCATGTGTTTCTGAAGTACAAATTAAAGGACTGCAGAGGGTTCAAATGATTACGACACATGCCTTGACACTGTAAGCTACATCATAAAGAAAGTGATCCTGAGCTGTTTTGCACTTCATACCAAATGGTGGGCGTTGAGATAACCAAGTGGTTAACACGTTGACTCGTCACGCCGAACACGGGTTCGATTACCGGGTTCGACGTGCGTACATTATCTGAAGCCCGTTTCTGGTGTCCCCTGCCGTGATATTGCTGGAATATTCCATATTGCTGAAAGCAGGTGTGAAACCACACTCACACACTTACTCTCTCACAACAAATGGAATCTGTATCTGAGGACAGACATTCTTTTAATGCTGAATATATTTTCCAGATGTGTGGGGAGGACGTTCTCAAGGACATTATAGAAGTAAGTCCTGAAACTTGATATCATTGATTATCTTGTAAACCTGAAAAGGTTTTTTTCTGTTATTGAATGATTTTGCTTATAGTGTACTGCAGGGAATTCTAATGTTCGTATTTTGTTTGCTAGGCTTTAAAGCGTAGCCCTCTTTATCCGGTAATCTTCTCTTGTAAAAGGATAAATTATCCATTAACTTTAATATTGAATGTTTGATATCAGTTTTACATATTGATCGCTAAGGACTTGTTTAACAATGTAAACAGGCTTTCATTTTAGCCATAATGCCCATTTCAAAAGATAACAATGAATGCATTTATTTGACAAGGGTACCGACGATCTGTGCCATCCTATGGAAATGGATACCCGAGTTACAGACAGACCTACCCGTCTAATGACTACCCTACCTATCCCGCACACCAACCTTCCTACCCATCAAAACACATCCCGTCCTACCCTGATCACGTGAACACCTACCCTGGACATCAAGACACCTACCAACAAGGTACTTAAGCTTGTTTAATATATGATTGATTCCAATTACCTTTTAATATCTCTGTTAACTTGTTTGACAGTAACAGAAGTTGTTACTTAGCACAACAACTTTTAAGGCATGCCTGTTTCGGTTCATGAATTTTTTACTGAGGTGTAGCGTGCAAAATAGACTAAGTTTAATAAGATATTCACTTTTTTCTTTCGGTTTATGCGTGTGCAATCTTCATATTTGTAGGTCACCGACAGGACCAGTGGGGACACAAGTCAGGCAACCAGAAATATGATTCTTACCGGGTAGGTATAAGGATACTGTGAAAATGAAACATCATGTGAAATTTAGAATTGTTGCACATATTACAACACAATCTCACAATGACATTTTTGCGACTCACAAGAGTTTCATACTTTATTGTGTACGGTTGCAGTTACTGTTATTTACTCTCGAATTCAGAATTCTAAAATATCCTGTCAGTTTAACTTCATCTTTTAGAATTTATATCATTGCATCAGTTATGCCATAATATAGCAAAAATATAGTATCGTAAAGTCTGTGAATGAAAATTGCCATCAATTGCTTGTCCGTACGTGTTAAAATGAGATCATATGTCAGAGACGTATGACACTTTATGCTGTAGAATGTCATAAAACTTTCCATTCTCTTGTTACAGGGATGAAGACATAAATGAAACGAATAAGTCATCCATCATATCCAGGCGTGAAATCCTCACTACATAATCTGCTATGTACAAGTCTTTCAAATAAATAAATTCTATCACCTGTACTTTTCCTGTTATATGTTGAAGAACTTGTTAAGGAAATGTTATTAAATGATACGAGAGATGTATTTATTAACGAACATATCAGAGATCTTGCAATAATGCTATTTGCAGATGATGTCGTGATTCTTGCCGATTCTGTTGTCCAGTTACAATGCAAGATAGATACTCTAAATGAATATTGTTTGAAATGGGGTCTTCAGATAAATATTAGTAAAACTAAAGTAATGGTTTTGAAAAATGGGGGTAAAATCTCTAAAAGTGAAAAATGGTTCCTTAATGGCCAAAAATTGGAGGTGGTGTCATATTACAAATATTTAGGTATAATATTTTCGTGTAGAAATATATTCTCCAGAGCCTGTGAAACATTATCTATGCAAGCTGAACGAGCCCTACATGTCATAAAGAAATTCATATGCAAATATAAAGAATTACCGATCCATGCATCATTTAAACTGTTTGATGGAAAAATTCAACCAATTTTGTTGTACGGCTCAGAAATATGGGGCATTAACATAAACAAGAATATTGAAAAGGTACATTCAAAGTTCTGTAAGTTCTTGTTGCGTGTTGGCTACAGAACTGCGAACAAGGTTATTTTAGCTGAATGTGGACGTTTTCCACTGTTTATTAACGCCCGATGTCGGGTTATTTCATATTGGCTAAGATTGATGAGACAACCAATTTCACGATATTCAAGATGTAGTTATGAAATGCTTAAAACACTAGATGATACCGGAGATATTAATTGGGTTTCATTCGTTAGAACTATTCTTTTTAGTCATGGCTTTGGAAATGTATGGATCGCCCAAAATGTAAGTAATACACAATATTTCATCAAATTATTCAAGCAGAGATGTAAAGACATTTATCAACAGGACTGGTATAATGAAATAACGTCATCAACCTGTGTCAACATTTATTCAGAATATAAATATTGTATTAATACAGAAATTTACCTTGCCAAAACTTCAAATGCAATAGATATCCAATGTCCATTCTGCAATTTATCACAAGAAGATGAGTACCATGTATTACTTGTATGCCCGAAATATTTAGAAATAAGAGAAACATATTTGCCTTATTTTTTCTATAACCAACCGTCGAGACATAAATTCTGTATGCTACTTCGCACAGAAAACATTGACTTGTTGTTTAAGCTAGCCCTTGTGTGGTACCACATACTTATGTTGAGAGAAAAAATGTAAATTGTGAATGGGTGTTTATGGATTTATTGATGTTCCTATAACTCGCGTATTTACAGGTTGCGCATAAATGCACTGCTATTATTGTACACATGTACTATTGGCCTCAGGGCCACATATACAAATAAATATGTCTGTCTGTCTGTCTGTCAAATAAATAAACCTTACATTGAAATGTGTCTTTGTTATGTAGTTTGTTGTGGAATTACAAGTTAGAAGATTGACTCACACCAATAGTTATACAGAAATACAGGTACAGAAATAGGTGACCCCGTGTCGCTGTCTGTTGTTAAATGAATGAGGGTTCTCACTGTAAGTATGATATGGTTCCTTTCATGTATATTTACGAAGTACAGTGTATGATATTGAGGATCTGATTAATTTACGAAATGAACGAAGCTTAGTAAAATATAGATAGTCGGTGCAAAAGAATATATGCCCATTCTTGACTATCCTCGGATTCCATTTGGTGTAGTGAGTGAGTTAGTTTAGTTTTACGCCGCACTCAGCAATATCCCAGCTATATGACGGCGGTCTGTAAATAATCGAGTCTGGTCCAGACAATCCAGTGATCAGCAGCATGAGCATCGATCTGCGCAACTGGGAACTGATGACATGTGTCAACCAAGTCAGCGAGCCTGACCACCCGATCCCGTTAGTCGCCTCTTACGACAAGCATGGGTTACTGAAGATCAATATTCTAACCCGGACCTTCACGGGTCTCCACGTGGTGTAAAGATTAAAACAGCTGAAGACTATATGAATGAACTACTGAAAAGCAACAATGACACCAGGTGTTCGAGAAAAGCACAAACATGCCATTCACACAATTTGCCTTAAAAATGAATAGTAACATTTTAACGCCCGACGCCGGACAATAGTATCCCTGCCATGCAACGGCAGCTTGTACACGTTAACAAACCAGACAATCAAGTGATCAATAAAACTAGAGTTTAAATTTGAATTACGATTACTATGTAGATGTTCTGAGATTCCGTGGCTTGCAAATAAGAAGAAACGTTTTGGAAACAGATTTGTCTCACAACACAGAAATCAAACATACTAACAATGTGTCAGAACGAGACCTCGTTCATTTCATATCTGAATGTTTTGGACTTAAACAAACGTACAAGAAGGTTGAAATGTGTGCATAAACGCTGATGCTTGATGTCTCAAGAGGCACTGTTGATACATTTGGACATGACAACAAAGCGCAAACATATAGCCTTGAAAGCAGTAGCACTAACCAAATTATGAGCAAGATCTGCAGCTGCGTGAGTATCTTTGATCTGCTGGAATATTGCTCGACATAAAGGGAATTTTAACTATGAGAAAGTAGAAATAAACGCTAATGTCACGCGGTCGTTAAGAGCTTGTCATATGGCAGTGTACAAAGTTGAACTTTGTTTTATTCGTTAAACTCTTTATGATGAGCCCGTCAGTTTGTTCTAGGAGATGTAAAACAAAACAGTCGAATCATATCATGGAGTCATAGATCTACTTGGTTTCAGTGGATGAAGTAAGCTGTTTTAATTAGCCATTTATTAAACCCCACCCCCAACACACTCACATATGGATTATTCCACTCGCAAGCGTTTTTCATGATATGCATGTGAACATGGTCGGAACATGCTATTTCTATGATGAGAAGGTAGGTTAGTTAGTCCACAATCTATAATCAATCTGAATAATAACGAGAATTATCAGTCACCCGGTGCGCCTAGTGGCTGCAAGAGTTGTATACTCCCCAGGGAGTTGAGATTGATAATACGATGTGCCATTGAGATTGGCATCGAATGATCGAGGGAAAAAATATCAGCGCCTTGAGCATGCACTAGTTGCCTGGATATGTGCGCTATATAAATATCTCCTATAATAATTTTATTCGAAATCTGGCCGATTGGTCGTCACCTACAGAAAAGACAGCCATCTTGTTAGATTCACAATCAGTGGTCAACAGAAATGCTGAATACAAATTCAGCCCTTCTATATGCCATGGAATAAAGACCCGAGAATGGCACCGCAGGCGCACCGCAAGTTCCTTACCAACATATTTTCGTCTGAGTTGGAACCACAGCTAATGATCATTTATTAATAGGTAAAACAGGTGTATTTCAATCGTTTGGATTGGTATGTTTACGTAAGCAAGTATATATCTACCAACGATCCAAATCGTTACATATTTGTTACCAAATATTAATGATTACAGTTCAGGTAATGTCAGAATGTTCTGTAACGAATGCTGCAGGCATAGAATTCGTCTTGTTAGCTTGTTGAGCTATTTGAGGACGAATCTGACGTCATCTGCAGCGACTTTCATCTGGACATGGCCAGTCGGAACAAGATATTCGCCGACTATATATCGACCATTAAGACTTATGACATTGAAAATTGTTTGCAGTCTTCACGTTGGGCATCTCAATATTAACGATGACTAAATCTGTACTGACATATACGTGTTTGTTCACACAAGAGCGTAACTACCATTATGAAAAAAGCCCGGGCTTACACATGCTTGTTGCTAAAAAGGTTGGGCAAGCCCTCAATACTATCTAAATATAAAGCTTTGCAACCAATTGGGCTTACACGAAACAAAAATTGGCTTGCTACGCGCCTGTCTGATCACGCTAGGTTCGAAATGTTCTTCGAAACACTTATCAACCGATATGCAGGTGAACGAATAGATCATGTGGCGTTCAGGAAACAAGATGGTTTGAGACGAGATTCGTGGACAAGAGCGGACAGACCTGGATGTGTAACGTAATGCCTTCTGGTTAATGACCAAATATCATGTCCATTTGCGTTACCGCTATAGCAGGAACTGGCAGCAACAGGACAAAGCACAGTGCGGTGTTTGCAAGGGGTCATTGCCAAAAGCAGCGTTGACGTTTGGTCCTAGACTGCCCATTCCCTAGACAAACGTAACATCTTTGTGACCGTTACTCCAACGAACAAAGTTCCGATTATACTAAGAAGCTTAAGAGACAAACTGATGAGAAGCTGTCCCTGATAAGATCAAACGAGCAACACACTTTGCTAGACGCTGTCAGACGCTGTGTACAAGATTGTATTGTTGCACTTGTAGGGCGCACAAATGAATTAAAAAATACTGATTTATTTTAGTTCTTGAAAGTAGTAATATGAGAAACGACAATTTTACGATTAGCGCTACATATCAGCTCTGTTGTATTCATTGTGCATCACAGTGCCTTTTCTCGTCAAAATATTAAAATTTTGAAATACATAAATTCCATAAACCAGCATATTTTGTAGTTTTGTACTTTTAAAAACAAGTTGATATGCTTTCTTTGTCTGTTGAAATGTAACCGTTTACCAATTATACATAATGTCTGTACGTAGCTTATCTCGTTTCAGGACAACGCATTCGGGAAAAACATACGGGAAGTAATATTCCTTAAAGCGTCCTGAAGGAGAATAGTGAAGAATGTCTTTGTCATTTGTGATTCTAATCTACCATGTTTGGGGCATATTTGGGGAAGACTAATAATACAATCGACAAAGACAATGTGTCAACAAGCGATTTCTTTATGAGCAGGTGCATAAGCAGTAAGTTTGTTTTCTTCGTCAAATAAGATAAACAAAAATAAACAACTGTTCCATACGAAAGAGCATTGTGCTAGTTGTCGACACATGGCGTTAATAATAATATATATGATTTATAAATATATTGTGTATATTGAAGATAATAAATTTTAGAATTGGACTCTCGTTGTAAAGGATAATGCCATTTTCACACTTCGTTTCGTGTGAAAAAGGTTGCGTTTT